AGATCAATTTCACCCATCGATTGCTGCGAAACACAATAGATGATGAAAGATTACTTATATTAGGTATGTATAGGTTGATACAGCCACAAAGAATATAAAAATTGCTAGTTATGAAGGCTCAACCCATAGATTCAATTCATTGGTACTTTGAAAATATTATACCTGAACCTTTTGATTGTGAAGCAATTCCTCTGCTCGTTCGTGTAGCTAAGGAATATAAATTCTTTGTGATAGCGTGGCCAGCGTAGGTGTATCTTATATATAGATATATTCAAAATTCATAGTCTTGGAATATGTTTGTTGTACTCAATCATGAATTTACCTTGATGTAATTCATGAATAGACCTTTCGTTTTTCCATTGAAATAAGGGTTGATTTTTACTGATATTTTGCTCGACGTCCGTCTATCGAATAAATTTCAATCACTGCCCTAAGCGGTTTGGAAAGAACTCACTTTTGCGAGCAGACTATGGCTTACAGCGACCTTACAAACACCAAGATGACAAAATAAGATGCTTCCATACCAATGACGGTGTGAATTCGCGCAATGGAAAAATTCCTATAGCATCATACGCAGAAGAAACGAAGCGGAGTAAAAACGAAGAGATAATATAAATCCATTCGATGTTATGGAATGGTTTTGTCAATGTCTTTGTATGCCGTTTTAAAATTTATGTCTTTGTATTTTCATAAAATGAATTTGTACACTTATTACTTGTGTTACACTCAATGCTTCGGTGTATGTTAATGAACTACTAAGCTGGCAGAAAATTTGAGTGCGTAACAAAATGTATGTCGTTGCTAGTTTCTGACATCAGTAATCGTTACATCCAATATTAATATATACACTTCTCAATTAATATTGCTGTTTATATTTCAAACTGCAATTTTGCCAAAAAAATTAAATAGTTTGTCCTTGTGAACATATATAAACATATATAGGTACGGTATAATAATACAGATGACTGTGTCGCCAGTATCTTTCTTTTTTTAACAGTTGCGCACGCCATAAGTATAACTTGACCGTAGAATAATGCAGCAAAGCGATATACATACTAATGCATATATTAGTTGGTATAAAAATCGTGTTGCCACGCAACCCTTGTCAACACTTATATGCGAGATATCAAAGCAGCGGCTGCTCGAACGTTGTCATAGATCTGGGTACTTTTATCTTAGTTTGTGAATTCACGTGTGGGATCCTGCTACCCAACCTATATGTACATGAAATGAATTACGTATGGTGGATAAGAGAAAAATTCAAATATATAAATATATTATCCACCTGCTGCGTATAGGTAACTCGTTACCTTCACGGCCACCCAAATCTTATCAGAAAGATTTAGCAATGTCTGAATTAGAAAATATTACGTTTACATGATAAAGATACTATAAATTTACCAACGTTACGGCTTGAATAAGCTCCAAACACAACGTTTAATTTATATTTGATAATACGCGATATAAAAAGACGCTACGTCGTAACATGTAGGATGCTGACAAAAATATCTCTTCGAAGTATGGTAAAAAGTATAATTTTTTGCTAAAATAGTTTTGACATCACTACAACATTCTGTTCACCAGTATTGCAAATTATTCAGGGTAACTTGCTCATGGCGCACGTTATTTCTCCCATCATTATATGTTGGTCCCATGTGGCCTTTCAAATCTTCGTCTTTTTACATGTCGCGATCACCAAATTAAATTAATATGACCATCGCATTTCTACGTCCCATTTGTCCGAATAAAACTCAAACACCTATTTCGGTAAGCTCGGGTCTTACTTGTCAAACCTCTGGTTCTTCGCCTATACTGTCCATGAACTGTAGGAATTGATATCATTTCGCGGATACATATGATGCCGTGACAGGACCCGTGTATCACAACGACATCGTACCGTATCGATAATTCCGAATCTTAATCGCAACCAAGCCTTAACTAGGTACATTTTTGATTCAGTCAGATAAACGAGGAGTATTTTTTGTTTTCACGAAAAAACTACTAACCCACGATTTCTATTTGCTCATTGAATTAGGCATCGATCTCGTAAAATATTTACTAATATTCTGCCATAAATGTTCGATTCAAAAAATCAATAATGTGAAATTATATGCAGCTGCACTAAGAGGTATAACGTTTATGGCTGTATTTTTGACTTTTTCGCTATATGGTAAGGGTGCCGTTATGCGTACCATTCCATCTAATATACGAACCACAGACCATATACCATAGTATATTGGAATAAAAGTATTCGCTTCTAGAAGGGGTTGATTATGCTCATTCAAAAACATATATTTAAATCACTCGATTATGACTATAATCGTATCTTCAATTTGTCTTTGCATTACGATGGGGGATATCTACGAGGAATGGACACGACGACCGAGGTCAACAACGGCTCGAACGACGAGAACGCTATCTATGCTGCAACAAGTACGTATACGTATCAAATACATATTTTTGGTTAAGTCTCAAACGTTTAATGCAGTCGAGTCACGGATGTTACGGACTTCAAAGCTGTTAAGGAATAGAAGAACGACGCAACAATCCGTTATATTGCAATATACTGATGTTCAGTATCGTAGATGAAACTAATAAAGTAATCATGGATAATCTAAATGGAATCATGACAAGACAAGTGTCAAATGTTTGACATGAATTGGATGCCCAAGATGACGCAATTTAAACTTTTTAATGACTTATACAATTTCTAGATTAAACAGCGTGGCGAAGGGTTGACGAACCTGGAGTTGTTGGACGGGCTTCACAAATAAAAAATATGAGTGGTAGTAGCTACGAGTGTGCAGCCACTGAAAGATGTTTGTGGCGTGGTAGTTCGTTGTGCACCTACAAGACAGGGCATGATCAAGCTATATTTGCTTTTGTATTTCATTGACCAATAAAATTGATGCGCAGAAGGTACTTCTCGGCAAGTGCAACACTCAAGACAAAGTCATGCTCTGCTCGCCCGCGCTGTGATGTGTCAAGATAATGAATCAGCTTTGACAAAAAAACAATAAAACAACGGTTTTACGAATACGGCAAGATGATATCAATTCTATATGGTGTTCTTTCTTCGATGATTGCCCAGACCCTTATTGTTGGTCGGATGTCGAAAGACCAAAGTTTTTGGCAAAAATCATAAGCATGTGAACAAGAAGAAGCATCTTGTAGGGGTTATTTGCGAATTGCTATGGGCACCCCAAAATGCGTGCTGGAAATGGAGTGTCGTTGATACACACGAAAGGCGTCGTCTTCGACAAGAAGCAAAATAAATATTACATACATGTCTAGAGACGCATGGTGTATTGGTCTTCTTAGCGGCAATAGGTTCTTGTGAAACGTAATTCGATAACATACAATTTGTCTTACGAAATGGGAGGGCTGTGGTACTTTTACAGAATTGTAGGCCCTTCAAAATCCTATTTTTAGATTTTGCTGTGGTAAATACAACATCAAAGTAAGTCTTGCAAATTATAATAATTTAAAATGGGCTGTGGTACCTTATACAGAAGAGTGTGGTACGTATTACGACTTTTAGGATGATTATGCAATGGTAAATTACGGAAATAAGAAAAAAATTGTTTGGAGACTGTATTTTTACGCCAATACTGCTTTTTAGCTATTCATTCTTATGATACATTACAAGAATCTTTCTAATGTAAATAAACAAATTTTGACGACAGAAGCAGAAACCTATGATTTGGTCAACTGTTTTACACGGTTATAAATCAAACGCGAATTGCGGATTTATCATATGCGCAATATGAGTGATCGGTGTGCGAACGTGTCTTACCTACTAAAGCCATTTTCGGCGCCTGTCATTCATCTGTGCGTCTGCTGAATCTGATATACTTAGACATCTACCGCGACTTCTATGTACGACTAAATATGTCATATGATCCCGATTTCTTTCGAAGAGCATCAACTACGATTATCGTTTTAAGCCAATCTTACGCTTAAAATATAATGGAAACGGATATGTCAAGTTTGCGTCAAAGTGTATGATAAATGAAAGTTAAATGAGGCATTATTTTTTTCGTCCACAAAAAGAAGAATTACACAGATTGTAATTCGTAAATTCTTCCTGACAATTCCCCTATAATCCAACAGTTATGGCTAGAAATAATGAAGTACAATAGTACTGGTATATTACATTTTTTGTTCTACTGAGATCAAAGAGGCCTTTATACCTATGTATTTGTTAAAATTCTCACACTATACTTGTTTGTCTGCGTCGTCAAGTGGTTTGCGGTGAGAAGTGATTTTTCTGCTGTTCGCCAATCAATTACCGGGGTTTTTTTCGGAGCAGGACTTGTAACGGGGCACTGGTGACAACGCACTGGCTAACCAGTACGGAGCTCACTTCCACTAACAACAGTGATAGTCAGTGCCCTGCTAAGTGTTGCACCAGCACAGAGGAAGGAAAGGAGAGTAAGTGAACGCTTTAGTCTCTGGTAAAAGTAACACTGTTATTTTATACAATTAAGTCCTACCATTCTTATGTCTCTGTTTATCCTGACTTAATTATACTAATGTAACTAAATGTATCGTGACGTCTACTCACCACCCATTGCGCGCGTCTAGCAGCGATTGGTGGGCTGATATCATCACGATATCAACCAATGAGTAGACCCTTCGGTCATCTTCAACAATATCATCATGCTCTGTGATATTGTTGAAAGAATATACAGCATAAAATTCTTTATTGTCATTTTCTTCTCAATGACAATATCATGTAACGGGCCACCCCGTTACAGGACTCGGATTCGGCAATTAGAGCCTTTATAGTCAGTGTGTTGTATCACCGCACCAGGGGTACAGGGGCCTCCTCGTGTTCTTGTGTATGGTGTAAAACGAAAGTGACACGCGTACATTGCTCTTACAATTTGTTTATCAAATACCAGATTTATTTACTCAACTACGAAGGACAATGTACGAGAATCGATAGGCCTCCAAAAGGTGCAGACCCCTCAGATCATTACGCTTTACTAGACTCCCTATTCTAGCGCTCCTGCGTCCCTCAACTTTTTACCTACAGTTTGCCAAGATTTGAAACCGTGTCCGCCAGACTTAAACTTGATGAATTTTTTCAGGTATGGCAGGTTGGAATCTCGCGTGCCATCTTTCGTAACATCAGGGAGGTCGAGCACGTCATATACAAATTCGAGGTCTGCGCCGTCGTACACCCAGCTCCAAACCATCGTGTCCTGCCAGAACTTTGCTCTACCGTTGCTCGCACTATTCTCCGCCAGCTCTGTCAAAATCTGTGCGAAATTGGCCACACCACCACATCCTGTCGACATCGAGGCGAGCACCTTTGATGTATCCACACCTGCCGAAACTAAGTGTTCAGCAATATCCAGGAGTGGTTTACCTTCGTCTTTCCACTGCTGGACAAGATAGCTCAGAAAATTGTCGAAGAATATGTTTTGTTTTCCCGCATTTGCTCCCATCAGTGCGAAGGCACCGTTGTCCAGCTTCTGTCGTATGAACGCAACTATGTTCACGTCGGGGGTGTTGTCCCTTTTATGTTTGTTGTACAGTGCAATGTACTGATACAAGGCATCCATTTTCTCGTATACCAGGTCGCTAGTGTCCATTTCAAAGAGCTTTAGAAAGCCAAACACGTCATCAGGAGATCTGTCTTCAATCAGCCAGATCGTCAACATCTCAGTCTGCAGATCAGTAGCCCCAACCTCACTGATCTGACTCTTCTTTGCAATCGCCAAAGCGGGTGCGAGTTTAGCGAAACCGCCATAGCCAATATCCAGAATTCTCAATACCGTGAGACCTAGCGCATGACGCCGATTCAACTCCTCGACAACTCTCTGGAAGGTGTGCAAAGTTGCAGGGTACAAAGTTTGAAGCTTATTCGCTGCAATGTATCTGCGAAGGTGTTCTTTTCCAGGACTATCCAGCCCAACATACGGTCTCCATTCCGCCTGCACTGAATCAAAGGCTCGAACCAGGTACATCACATTGCGCAATCCATCTGGATCACGGGAGAGCATTGTCATCACCAACTGAAGTTGTTCAGGGTTTCTAGCGAGTGCCGAGGCATAGCGCTTTACAACACAGTCATCCATTTGTTGTAAATCAGTCCAAGCATTCGGCGCGAGCATCTTGTCAGGCGTGGCATGCAGCTTCGACAGTATCTTAGTCCTGACCGTATCGGCGGCCGTTTGAATCAGTCCGGAGGTGTCGCTTTGAAAGAGCGCCCGCTCTTCGCCAACTGTGGCGCCCCTTGCTATCCGAGGTTGGCCTTTAGGGATGTCGTCGTGAGCATCGACATACGAGACGTTGTCTCGCGTCATCTCGAACCCGCATACCCCCAGGAGGCTTAGGTTACATGACACGACAGTGGCAACGGCCAGGATCACGGTCGTGCAGATGCGCATCTTGGGCGTTGTCAAGTATGTCGTTCAGGGCCAGTGGGTAAGTTTTGCAGTGGCCAATAGCACGCCTGACACAGCTGCTTGGCTAATTTGTGGCTGGGACGGAAAGCCTAATCAAACACATATGTTGACGATAGGCTCACGAGTCCCCGCCTTTGAACGTTTTGCTGTTTGTTACTCCACGCCAGTTGTACCTCATAGTTACTATGTGCCTTTGTGTCGTCATACGGCAAACCGAATGGGTCCTCGCAGCTGCTCTAAGATCTCGCGTGATGTCAAACAAGTGAGATTGATAAACAGCTGCGCGTACCCATTTCGATCACCGTGGATGATCGCACAAAGAGGAGAATGAGCACTTTGAAAAAGCACCTTTTCTCAAACGAAAATAGTCGTCAATGTTGGTCGATGGCTGCTGATGCTTTATGAAAGCAACGTGAAGGACCGGTAGACGACATAGGCGCTCTCAGATCTGGCCAAGAAGACGCGCGCGAAGCCATGAGTCAAGTGCTGCATTTTGGCATCGATACCAGAGAACGTTCAGAAACGCACGCATCTTGTGTTTGAGGCGATTCATTTGTAGCGCGTTTCTCTTCGGCTTTGCCTCATTGTAAATCACACGTGCTCAATTACATGTGCTATTCGCAGTGATCACGCACGTCGAATTTAGGATTCATGATGCCAAGCGCTCGAACTGGTTACAAACGTGCTGGTGGTATTTCGATTCACCATACCGCGCTGTTGGGCTGGTGGGAAGATGCTAATTTGGTGGTCTTTTACTAAATTGTGCCGCGATGGTTGGCGACAAGCAAGTACGTCGCCTAGTGAGACCTAATCGCGGTATATATTCTCGTTCTTGGACAGAAAGTTAGCGAGACAGCTCGTCTGCAGTTGTGCTTACTTAGTTGATTCTCGCATTTCAATGCCTACGTACATACACACTGAAGTGAACTTGCTAGCGTGCGTCGTTGTCGTGGCGTTCATTCTTCGATCATCTGCACTAAACATTGTGACTGGATAGCTAGCACTACAAATAAATGTTGGCTCGCACGCAGGCCATTAATTATGTAATCTCTCGATACCTTTTGTACTCAATATCTCAGATGATATCTTTGTATGCTTCGACATAAGATCTAGTTCATGATCGAGTCTCTCAGAGCGCTGTGCGCAGGGTAACTTTGCAGAAGCCGTGGTAGAAAGTCGGACGTGCATGGATCTACTTACTATGTTCTGCGTACCGGAGAAGCATCTGGACTTTTCATGGCGCAACGGATGAGCTGCACATCGTGCAAAGCCAAGTCAAAATAGAAGTGTTGTACCTGAGCAGCCTGCCGTTAACATGACGACTAACTTTAGCCAAGATAGTGTGTGAATGTACGCGTAGAATAGAACTTAAGATAGGCGCTGCGTTGATCGCAAGAGCTCGCTCTTTTGTGGCTATGATCGTCACGAATTTTGGGCAAAAGTGATTTATGTCAAATTGGAGCTGATCGTAACGGGGCACACCCTTGCGTGAACTTAACGCAAGGGTTTTGGTGCGCCCGACAGACGTACACGAGGCAAACGAGGAAGCGTAGATAAGGGAAAAGCAGAACTGTTGTATTAATATAATTAAGTCTTTTAACTACTGTCTCTCTGTTTGACTTAACTTAATAATGTTAATATAACTGAGTGTATGGTGACGTCTGCTCACCACTCATTGCGCGCGTCCTGCGGCGATTGGTGGGTTGATATCGTCAAGATATCAACCAATGAGCAGACTCTTTGGTCGACCCATCAATATCACCACTTTGGTGATATTGTTAAAATGATATTCAACATAATATTCATTATTGTCATTATCTTCTAAATGACAATTTCCATGTAACGGGCTGCCCCGTTACATTATCCCCTTAACTGATAGTCACCGTGTGACTATCAAAAATTTGGCGGCCACCCGTTGGCCACGATTGGGACAGGGAGCACTTGTTGGGTCAGTTCCATTCATAACTTGACCTGACCTCGCATAGTTAACATGTCCATGCGGGGTGACTCAAGACACGCACAGCCCGCTGCTGAGCCAGCCTCTGCGACAGACGATTCGTCGTCTGCTGCTCCTTCTCCGCCTGCAGCAACAGGTGCTGCAGGTGCACGCGGTAGAGCACCGCGTGCACATGATGACCCCGACATTGAGGTCATCTACTCTGGCGAGTCAGACGTGTCTGACTCGGGCAATGTTCCAGAGGCGTCTCGATTACCGGCGACGCCTCAGTATTCGTCAAGGCCACTGCCGAACGAACAGACTCGTGAGTTGCAACACAGTCTGTTCGGCAGTGATGATGAAGGTGATCAGAGTGGTGAGGAGAATTACTCCTTACCACTGCCGATTCGTGCCTCTTCGCACGAGCGTAATGACGATGGCGTGAGCCGTCGTCATTCTGGAAGCCGTGGTACCGACAGAGGTACCACTTCGAAGTATGATGAGCCGAAGCCGTGGCGTCTGCTCGAACGGCTCATCAATGGCTTGTCTCACGAGAGAAGCCAACACCATCGAATACCCTTATTCGATGCGACTGAGCTTCACGGCTTGACTCCCAGCGCGAGCAACTTTTGCGCTAAAGAAGACTTTTATCTCGATGTCTTCCTTAGACATCGATGGTACAACAGCAACCAAAAGCGTGACAAAAACTCGCTTTTGGCAGCGCGGAACGCATTCGTCCAAAACGTAAAGAATTTTGGATGAGAAAGGTGGCTCTAGAAGCTTGAGGCAGTACGCCTCATGTTCGAAAAGCGAAAGCCAACCGCTGCCAGGTACCGGTTGCATAATCTGTCAAGTGAGGCCGGCATTCCATGCCTCACTTGGGGAGACCCTTGTGCGAGTTGTGCTGACAACTCGCAACGTGCGCAGAGGGACGTGTATTCCCTAGATTCTCCCTGGGGAAGTGCACACATCTCGGCTGAGATGCGTGACGCGATTGCAAACTTGCAATCCGTCTACAAGCGCCATAAGCGCGTGTTTACCGATGGGCCGCAGGACTCATCGGATGGGTCTCGTCATACTGGCGGACGAGACCTTCGACATCCATCAACAGCTGAGAGCGGGGCTCCCAGCTGTTCCAAGAGGGTGGATACCCCCGCCACTGGACGAGGTAGCTCGCCCTTGATCCTGAATCGTCACGGTGGTTCAAGATACGCTCCACTAGAAAGCGTTGATCACCGTGAGCATCCACCAAAGGATGTGGTGGAGGAGGAAAGACCTCCTCCAGATGATTCGGCTCACCATCGCGATCCTTACGAGATGGATCGCGTAATCGATGAATTGCGAGATGACTTGAAGCACGAGTGCGACCGGCGCTACGCTTTGACTGATACCGCGCGGAAGAACCGCAAGGATCGCGAGACTGATCGGGCGAGGGATCGCGCCGATTATACCACAGCGCAGATCCAGGTCGAGCGGGATGTCCGCTCCCTTTCCGGCGATCTGGCGACAGCTTGCGGGGAGATATCTCGGTTGAGTTCCAAGGTATCATATCTCCCGACCAGACGGATCGTCTGGAGCGCGAACGCAAGAACTTGATGGATGTTGTTGAACGTGGGGGCTATCTTCATCGGAAGAAGAAGGCTCGTACTGACAGTACGGCCTAAGCCTTCCCACGTAAAACGTAGGATGCGTGCGCATCCTACGTGGCAATTCGAGTGTGTATGCATTGCCCTTGCGATGCAACACTCGAAATGGCCCAATTTATTTCGGCAGTAGTTTGCTACTGCCGACACTAGTGACTGCATGTCCAGGTAGGTTTACCTAAGACAGTAGTACTAGGTCATTAACCATAAATGAAAGAACATTTGCTCTTCCATTCTTGTCTGCGTTCCGTTTCTGACGGTCCACCGCATTTGCGATGGAGTCCTGAACGAAACGGACTACCGCTTCTCGAGTCAGCAGGAAGTTCTCTGCTGACTCTTTGTTTTGTCTGGCAGTGCGCTTCGTGCGCACTGCTAAGAGATTGCTCTCTTCTTCAGCGAGGTTGTCTTCTTACTCGCTGACATAATCGTTGACGATGCTGAATATACCAGCATTGTCACCATCATCCGAGTCAATAATAGCGTCGCCGCTATTATTGAGGTGATCTTCTTCATCGATGTCAACTTGATCGACATCGGCATCATACGTGACGACGTTTGCGTCGACACGTGATGAGCAAGAGCCAAAACGGTTTTTGCTCGAGCGATTCCCCCCTTATCCAAGATTCACACTATAGAAGGGTGGGTACACGTGGATGGCGTAGGCCATTCACGTAAAACGGTGTGTGCTGTGTGGAAGCATGCACCGAATTATTGATGACGAATTCCACCATGGGTAGGAATTCGCTCCAACTCGGAAACGAGTGGACATATCCTCGAAGAATCTCTTCGAGGACACGGTTCGCACGTTCCGTCTGACCATCTGTTTCGGGATGGTCAGAAGTGGACATCTTCAATCGTGTTCCGAGAGTACGGAACACGGTTTGCCAAAATGCCGCCGTGAACCGAGGGTCACGGTCGGATACGAGTTCACGGGGTAACCCGTGGAGTCTAAAGACCGTGTTTAGAAAGACACGAGCACAACTTTGAGCCTTGATCGACTCAGGGACAGCAGCAAGATGGACCATCTTGCTGAATCGGTCAACAAACATAAGAATGCCATTATTCTTGTGAGCGTCTTCGGGAAAACCGAAGACGAAGTCCATTGAAACGGACTGCCAGCACTCTGTCGGAACAGGCAGAGGCTGCAATGGCGCACGGGATGAAGGACTAGGCTTCACCCATTGACAAACCTCGCAAGCACGTATGTACTTGCGGACAAACTGATACTGGCGGGGCCAGTTAAAGTCACGACTTACCGTGAGGTAAGTCTTTTCTCTACCACGATGGCCGCCTGTTGGGGCATCGTGACACTCATACATGATGCGTAAACGCAAATCATGATGAGCGGGTACGACGACACGAGGCGCGTAGTCGGCAACAGCTGTATAGTACAGCAATCCGTT